AAAACCTGTGGATGGGAAAGTAAATCAGTGCCTCCCTCTTGGAACAGTTTTCTCAGAGCATCTAGAACTAGAACTACCACGTGACCCAACAGTCCCCCCGGGGGTAGGTATATATCCAAAGGAAAGGAAGCCAGGATGTCAGGGAGATGCCCATACTGACTGTGTCTAGTGTAGCACTGTTCACAACAGCCAGGGGATGGAGTCAGCCTAGGTGCTCCTTTGGTAGATGAATGGAAAAGAGCATGTGGTTACCCATACACAGTGGCATCGTACTCAGCCATAAAAAACAGTGCAGTCCTGTCATTTGCAGCAACACGGATGATCCTGGAGGACATTGTGTTAAGTGAAACAAGTCAGCACAGAAAGAAAACTGCAGATTCCCACTTACGTGTGAAAGCTTAGAAAGTTGATCTCATAGAAGTAGAGAGTAGAATAGTGATTACCAGCGGCTGGAAAGGAGAGGAAGGAACAGAGGGAAGAGCATGGTTGACGGGCACAAGGGTGCAGTTGGGTGGGAGGAGTAACTTGGGATGATCCACAGCACAGTGAGGTCACTGAGAGCGGTTGATTGTGTCTCAAAGGAGCTGGCAGGATTCTGAATGTTTCTAACACAAGTGACAGATGTTTGAGGTGATGGATATGCTAATTAACCTGGTCATTATATGTTGTATTCCTGCATTGAAATATCACACTGTACCCGAGAAGTATGCACTGTTATATGTGTCAATTACGAATAAACATAAGTTAAATTCTCTTTAGAGAAAAGTAGATCTGATTCATATATTCATTTTACAAATGATAATATGGAGATTTAGCAGATGAAGTTAACTTTCTCAATATTATAATATAAAGAATAACTGTGCTTATTTTAATATAGGTTCTCTCACCGTAGTCATTTTCTGCTTAATCTGTTACATAGTAAAACTTATTTCCACATAGAAATCTAGAGAGAAACTCAGGACTTTGTCATCAGGTCAGATCATTGTTTCCTACCTGTGTGCTCTAGGTGTTCCCTGGAGAGTAACACTCAGGGATGGGTTTTTAGGGATTATGCCTGAGTCCCCACAGTGCCATTAAGATGGGCTCAAACTGCATGCACACATACTGGACACTCCTTATTGAAAGGATTACTCCCCTTAGGGACAGCCTTGTGTCGTAAGAGGTTAAGCCGCTGCCTGCAGTGCATGTGGGAAAGCAGCTGAAGATGGCCAAAGTTCTCAAACCTCTGCACCCATGTGGGAGACCAGGATGAAGCTCCTGGTTTCAGCTTGGCCCAGTCCCAGCCATTATGGCCGTGTGGGGAGTGAACCAGCAGATGGAAGATATCTCTTTCTTTGTCTCTGTCTCTCTCTGTCTCTATCTCTTTCTCTCTCTCTCCCCCTCTCTCTTTCCCCCCTCTTCCTCTCCCTCTCCCTCTGTAACTCTGCCTTTTAAATAAATACAATAAATTGTTTTTAAAAGAAGACAGAAGTGCCGCCCTCCTGTAGGTCCTGGAGGACTGCTGGGAAGTAAACTCTGTGCTAAAATGCAGGTGTTGACATGTAAAACTCCTGCCAGGTTCTCCACTATTTAGACTATTTCACTGTTGTGAAAATTTGAGTTTACATCTGAACTTGCAGATATTTGAACAGACTACTGAATCTTGAGTTCTGTTTATTACTTTTTGAGAGTTCTTGCATCTAGAATCCATTATCCAAGCATGTTAAAAGTGAACAGAACCAGAGAATTCTAAGAACACTGTTTGGAAAAGATTTTGAGAAAAGGAGAAGTTTTGAAATACAAATATTGTACTTAATTCTCTATTTCTGCCTCTAATGAATCTCATAAAGTATATTTTTACTCTTCTACCTGAATCAAATAAAAGTCTTATTATCATACCTAAAGAAATTATACAGATGTAGCTACTATAAGTCTGTAACAGAGCTTTTGCTCCTAAACATTTACTTCTTTTACAACTAGATCTTTTTAATCCTTATGTATAAAATAAACATATAGATGGTACTTTAGTTATACATAGTATGAAATTAAGAATATAAAAAACCTATACATGTACTAATTCAAAATGAAAATATATTCATATTATATATACAGTATCAATTTTGTGTTTAAAAAATGTTTAGTTTTGATATTACTCCTATTTTCAAACATAAGTTTTTGAATATAGAGTAACCTGGTAGCCATTTTGTCAAGATTTTTAAGGTTGAAGGAGTATTGCTAACCATGTAAGTTTGATTTTATGACTCAGGAGTTATTATGTATATATATATCTAAAAATAGCCCTTAGTAACCATTGATCTGTGCATTTAATTTAGGAAAAATGGATAGTCAACTTGTTATATATAAAGATTGTGGTACAACCAGTTAAGCTACTAGCTGCGACTTCAGCATCCCATATGAGCACCAATTCAGGTCCCGGCTGCTACACTTCCAGTCCAGCTCCCTGATAATATGCTAGGAAGGTAGAAGAAGGCCCAAGTGTTTGGGCCCCTACCATCTTTGTGGGTGACCCTTAGGGAACTCCAGGCTCCTGGCTTCCGCTTAGCCCAGCCCCAGCTGTTGCTTTTGGGAAGCAAACCAACAGATGGAAGGTCTGTCTCTTTCTCTCTCTCTCAAAAAATAAATAAATAAAATTTTAAAAAAGATTGTGGCAAATACTCATGGTATTTTAGCAACCTTTTCCAATATGTTGTAATGTCTTATTCTCTCAAGAGATAGAAAAATAAATCTTGGAAAATTTCTGTGTCAAAAATTATAGTTGGCAAGAAAAATGCTTCAGATAAAATGTACTCGCTCTTTTAAAACTGATCTCAGTAGAACACTCGCCTGGATTTTTTAATAATATTTTGACTAACATTATACCCTATTTCTAACCACTTCTTTAGTATAAAGGAAAGAGTTCAAATGTGTAAAACACGTGTATAACTAATATATTTTTGCTCTCTAAATAAATAGAAGCTTTCATTTTACCTTGCCAATGAAACATTTTATTTGTAACTCTGTAGATAAATTCCTCGAAAGTTATTTGGATTCGTGTGCCCATTTATAGATGTTTTAAGAATATCCTTAGCTGTATTTTTGTACATGGCCTTTCCGTCAATAACATACGGCCCCAGAGTTTGTTTTCTTTGTGTGCAGTGGAGATTTGCTAGCACTGCAGTAAATTCCACCACGTAACTGAAAACTCTCTGAGGTTAAAGAACTCAGCAAACACGTTGGAATGCCCCTAGCTTTCATTTCGCCAGCCCTCTTCACAACCTCTTTAAAAACTTTGCCGAAGATTCACACCTCTGAGTGGATCCCACAGGATCCACTTCATGCCATTCTGAGTTCTTCCAAAGTCTCCACTCTGGCAGCACTTTGGACTTCCCTATTCCTGGGTGGTGGCTCTGTTTTGTCATGTTTATAGATGTCTGCATAGTGAGCATCACCAGTGAGACCATGAGTTCTTTGAAAAACCAAGGATTGATTTCTTTCGTTTTTCCTGTCATGGTTCTCCCTAGGATACTGGAAATCACAGTGTTTGTTGTCCCGGTTCCTCTTGGGTTTGGAAGCTAGGCTACCATAGCTACAGAGCAAATGTCAGATTGGAAAGAGGGTGGAAGACAGACAGTGGGGAAAGGCAGCGTGTATCCAGCAGCCACTGTGCATGTTATCCTTTGTATGGTTGCCTTAACTATTCATTTTAATCAGATTTTATTTGTATAAAATTCTGTTAAGAAGATGGGCCAGTGAAGAGGGGACCTCATGCAGTGTAATTGTCCATAGGCCTTGCATTCTTGTGGGCATGGTCGTAACTTCGATGGCACCTACCATGGTATTCAGGGAGTTCAGAAGAGCATTGGCTCACTCATGGGAATTTACTGGAGAAATGAAATAAAGGTGAATGCTGATAATGAATCTGGAAGTATTGGGGTTTCTGAGCAGTAGAGTCATACCTGAATTGTTTTGTTCTCCAACTAATATGAGAACAACTTGTCCAGAAGTTAAGGGAGATATGGATAGAAGAAAATTGGATTGGAAGTAGGTCAGCTAACCTGGGAGTTAAGGAAACATTTGAAAGTTTTCTGCCAGGGGCCAGCACTGTGGCATAGCCGGTAAAGTTGCCATCTGCAATGCCAGCATCCCATATGGGCACTGGTTCGAGTCCCTGCTGCTCCACTTCCAATCCAGCTCTCTGCTATGGCCTGGGAAAGCAGTGGAAGATGGCCCAAGCCCTTGAGCCCCTGCATCCACGTGGAAGACTTGGAAGAAGCTCCTGGCTCCTGGCTTCAGATCAGCGCAGCTCCAGCCATTGCAGCCATCTGGGGAGTGAACCAGCGGATGGAAGACCTCTCTCTCTCTCTCTCTCTCTCTCTCGCCTCTGCCTCTGCCTCTCTGTAACTCTGCCTTTCAAATAAATAAATAAATCTTTAAAAAATGTTTTCTGCCAACAATTCATGGAAAATAATCAACAAGAACTTAATTGTTAAAAACAACTAATTTTGGAATTAATTTCAATTTGATAATATATTGATTATAGGATTTGTGGTGCTAGCTTTAAAAACCCTAATAGAGGCCGGCGCCGCGGCTCACTAGGCTAATCCTCCGCCTAGCGGCGCCGGCACACCGGGTTCTAGTCCCGGTCGGGGCGCCGGATTCTGTCCCGGTTGCCCCTCTTCCAGGCCAGCCCTCTGCTGTGGCCAGGGAGTGCAGTGGAGGATGGCCCAGGTGCTTGGGCCCTGCACCCCATGGGAGACCAGGAAAAGCACCTGGCTCCTGGCTCCTGCCATCGGATCAGCGCGGTGCGCCGGCCGCAGCGCGCTGGCCACGGCGGCCATTGGAGGGTGAACCAACGGCAAAGGAAGACCTTTCTCTCTGTCTCTCTCTCTCACTGTCCACTCTGCCTGTCAAAAAAATAGAAAAAAATACTCACAAAAACAAAACCCTAATAGAAAGACATTTTACTTATGTGATATTGGTAATGTAGGCAATTGAACTTATTTTATTACTTTTTCCTATAGCTCTGCAAGTGAATCTGGTTCTCAAAGCACTTGTGATCAACTTGTAACTCCAACAGCACTGGCTGCCTGTACCAGAGTCGATTCCTGTTTTACTCCATGGTTTGTCCCGTCTCTTTGCATTTCCTTACAGTTTGCTTACCTGGAATTCCATCTTTGTCATCACCTTGATCAGCTGGGCACAGGTACTTTTTACTTTAGCTTCAGAATGGCATCCACTTAATACATACTCTTTTCTTTTGAATACTTCTAAGACACAGTTCATCAACTTTTAGCCAGATAATTTATTCTCAGGAAGTATAAAGTGAGCACTGGCAAAGGTATTCTGAAGCTGCTCTGGTACAACATAGAGACCCCTTACTTTCCAGCCAGGTTAAGGATGTGTTATGTGAGTTACCAGCGGTACTGAGTGCACACGTTTTTACATGCTTCCTAGTGATAGTCTTCAAGGAAGTTACAGAAATGCAGGTGTTACTATTCCAGTTATGATCTTAAGAAAATACATCGGGTTTTCTCTATCTTGAGACACTCCTTTAGTGGCAACTAGATTTCAAAAGTAGATGGTGTTGCCTGATTTCAAAAGTATGAATGCCTTCTATAAAAGATGGGCAAGGGCTTGGGCCACCATGGTGTAGTGAGTATAGCCGCTGCCTGCAGTGCCAGCATCCCATGTGGGCGCTGGTTCGAATCATGGCTGCTCCACTTCCAATCCAGCTTTCTGCTATGGCCTAGGAAAGCAGGTGAAGATGACCCAAGTCCTTGGGCCCCTGCACCCACATGGGAGACCTGGAAGAAGCTCCTGGCTCTGGATCCGCGCAGTTTCTACCATTGCGGCTATCTGGGGAGTGAACCACAGATGGAAGACTTCTCTGTCTCTACCTCTGCCTCTCTGTAACTCTGTCTTTCAAATTACTAAATCAATCTTTAAAAAATAGAGACTTGGGCACATTCTCAAATCAAAGTATTCAATTTTTTTCCAAGTCTAGAAGGAATACAATTAAATTTCTCCACACACTGAAAATGAGCTTTTATAAATTTGCTAGTGTTACTTGAATAATTATTTCTAAAGCATTATATTCTGTGCCAAACCTTTTCTAGAAAGGTTTTCTTAGAAAAATTTTGGTTCAGGTATTAGGTTTTCAACCTACATGTAATGGAAAAAGGGGGAAAATCAGATTAAAACCAAACACAGCTGCTGTTAAGCATCTTGCCTTTTCAGCAAAAATGGAGTTTAACTTGCTTTTCCTAACTCTCTTTGAGTCAAGTTTTTGTTTTTAAGATTTGGTTGGTAGATACAGAGCACTCCTATAAAACTCCTCTTGATGGTTACCTCTTCGTTTTATTTGTTGTGTTCTGTGATAAAATATTTGTCTTTGAAGGAGAGTAATGTTATATATCTAAGAGGCCTGATTGAACAAAACAACTTTATTTTCAAGTATCAAATAGTAATTGCAAGATTGTGATATCTTTAAAAGTGTTTGGATTTATTAAATTTCAAATATTAAATCCAGTAACCAAAAAGTAAATAATTTAAATGTCCATTCATTATTTCCTAAGTATTGGCTCCTCTTAATTGCTCTTTTTCTCATTTGTTTTCTCAACAGCCCCACCACAGTACCTACAACCATTCATTTCTGATAAAAACGTGCCGTCTGAATTAGAATACATGATTGTGTCCTTCAGAGAGCCACACGTGTATCTTAGACAATGGAGCAATGATTCCATGAGTCAGGAAATCCGGTTCTCGGCTCAGGCTGACTGTAGGCTGCTGGAGTGCAGAAATGTTACGATGCAAAGCGTGGTGAAGCCCTTTGGCCTCTCTGCACAGATCGCAGTCTCCAGCCATGTGACAGCAAAGCTGCTGGACTGCACCGTGATGATGGACTCTGTATTTGTAAACTTTGGACAGCATGTAGTTCATTCTCTAAACACTGCGATACAAGCTTGGCAACAGGTATGCACATTCCAGAGCACTTTACAATTTGGCCACATATGATCTTGTCTTAGGTAATTCATAGTATTGCTTTTAATAGTAAGTTAGATATACAATGCAGAAGAGAATGCAGAATTTGATAGGCATTGTAATATTGGGGCCCTTCCCTGGTCTGGCAAAGTGATGCAAGTTATTTTTTAAAACCTTTGGAGGGTATGGGTTCTCTACACATGCATCAGAGATTATGCCCACATTTTTGTGACTAATGTACCACATCTGTATGGAAAGTAACAAATTCCCAGAACTTTTTTTCCAAGTATTGTGGCTTTTGTTTGCCAGGGTTTCAGCTTAGCTGTGTATCAGAATGTCTTGAGTGTGCACTGCAGAAATGATGAGCCTATGTGAGCCTTTTCTGATAACAGGCCTTCCAGATTTTCAGACCAAAAACAGGTGAAATATGTGAGTACAATATAGTCTTAATTTTTCTTGTACTCTCTTTATTTTTAATTCATTAAAAACACTAGATAATGGGTTTTTTGGATCAGTTAAAGACTCTTGAATATTTTCATAGTGTGTTTCTTTATCTCATCAGAAATTAGCCTTACCTAAGAAGAAGTGAAGTATAAGCCTAAGCAAAATGGCATATTTAGGAGAGGAAATTTGTCTGTGTCTACGAGCATGAAAATAATTGTATAGAATGTTAGGATGATATGTTTAGAAATTTAAGAGCAAATCACTGCTGCTTTCATTACCGATTCTTAGTGTTATAATGTATTTCTTTCAGATTTGTGTAGTTATTTAAGCTGAGACATTTCCTCACATTCCCTGTATGTTATGTGCGTGTGTGTGGCGCTGGCTTCCCCGGGAGAAATGGGCCCTCATCATCCACCCTGAACCTCTTCTGGGGGTGGAGCAGTGGCTTTAGTTCTCTAGCTTCAGAATTTTGATGGAACTAAATAAAAACAATTTTGAAAGATTTTTATGGAAACGACTTTAGAATTGTTATGGAAATAGATTTTTTATAGAATAAATAGTTCTTAAAAAGAATTTTTAGTTCACTAACTTGAGATTTTTTATGGGAATAAAATTTAATGTTTTCTTTATATGTACGAAGACCTATACAAAAACTAAGGAATTAATTACCTAACATGGCCCTACAATAGAAAAGGGAACGAAGATAACACATCTGTTTTATATTTTAAAAATCTTTTTTAAGGGCATTCCATGGTTTTCTTGTTGCAAAGGACATGCGTAAAATAAGAGCTAGTGTGATCTAAATCTTTGCAGCTGGTTCAAATAGCAATGTGAAAAAAAGCTCCATGGGTCCAATTTCTGTTTTTTTGTCATATTTTGAACAATGCATTTAATACAAAACAAACGCAGAAAATATAAAAGAGTCATTGATAGAACATTTAAACCCAGGATGTTTTTGTCTTGGTATCAGAACCATTATAAGAGGACTCATGTGTAACAACTACTGCAAAATGGCCTTCAGAAATATCAGTTTCCTCCCAGGGTAAAAATATTCTCTTAGACACAGCTATACATATACATAAAATATGGTGCATAAATATTTAAATGTTTTAAACCACATCAGAGTGCGAATGAATGACTGGCTAACACAGTGCCTTGAAGGAATATTCTGAGTTTTTTTAAAAAATGGAATTGTGTATTTGATTAAGTAGAGCCATATGTCACGTAGCATATTGCTGACAGGTACATTCTATGAATAGTTGTTTCTGATTTATACAGGGATTTGGCAATGTTAACATGAGCCACAAGAGGATACACTTCTGTAATTGTTGCTGTAATTTTCTTGTTTCCTCCCATGTCAAGGGTACTTGCCACCAAGTTTTAATGTGGTAGGCATCTAACCCTGTTGTATTCTAAAGTAAATATCAAGTGTACTACTTTGAAATTTTTGGACATTTGACACTGAAATGAGCTGATAGAGGTTAATTAAGTTCATTGTTTCTGAGCTATTTTGAATGTGGTTTATCCCCTTTAGAGAAAAGTTGAGTTTCCCAAACTTGGATTTTATTGTGGGTACAAATGCTCACACACAATATAATTGTTGCCAGTGAGAAATATGAATTTAATAAGCAGATAAGGAATTTGAATTCACATATTTCTTACTGGATTCATATCAGAGATAAGTCATTTTTACCAAGTGTGGATGGACCAGACAGTTGAAACATGAAACAATTTGGCCTTCCACTGGTCAAGATTAAAAGCCTTCTTCAGTGTCTGAGTTCTCTGGCTGTAGATTTTTTTTTTAAATAAATGGTAACTGTTTTGTGAAACCGTATTAATAAGGACCCAAATGCCGCTTGCACTTTGCTTTATATCTCTAACACATTCTTAGATTTGGACAAATTAGCATGTTAAAACTATTCTATTTTTACATGTGTGTGTCTTATCTAACTCAAAAATAATATCTCTGTTTACTTACAAATGCCTGTGTAGCATGCCATGAACCTTAAACATGAATAAGGCATCTTTTAACCCAAATCCAAATGAGCATTCTGAGCTCAGAGTATACGAGTATGCTGCACTTGGGACATGGGTGAGTCCTCTATAATACACCAGAATATGCAACATTCCAAGAAGCGCTTACATTTATTTCAGTTATAATGAACTCCACAGATGAAGGATCTGTACAGAAACAGTTCCCTGAGGACCCTGAGTATTCTTTAGAAAAATGTAAACAACCCCCTTGTGTTCTTTAATTTACATTTTTTCCTAAAACCCTCATCATTTATTAAAGGTCAGTTTTTGGAGATGAGGAAAGTAATACGATTTTTTCTTCTACTCAGGCTCCATCTGGTAACTTAACCTCTGCGTTTCCAGCAGATTGATCACAATTCATTAAGAAAACTGAATTTTAATCTCAGGATGTGTAACTAAGTGGGAGATTGGAATCATATCCCTTTCTTCATGTTTGTACATTAAACCATAAGGAGAGAAAAATGTTTACAAGGAGAGCAGTTTCTGTTGATTATATAATGCTAAATGGAAAGATCTCATCAAAACTAATTATACACTATAATTCCAGTTTGATTAAAGGTTTGTAGATAAGTGCATAAGATAGGATTGGATAGGATAGACTGTAATAGTAACAGGACATTCAAAAGAGAAAAATTACTTGAGGAAAATCCACCAAAATATGAATAGCAGTTATCACTGCATATAAAATTAGAAATTTTCTTTAAAAGGTCATACGGTATTTTCCAACTTTTCTATGTGAATATATATTGCAAGTATAGGTTTTTTTTTTCTTTTTTTCTTTTTTTTTTTTTTTTTTTTGACAGGCAGAGTGGACAGTGAGAGAGAGAGACAGAGAGAAAGGTCTTCCTTTGCCGTTGGTTCACCCTCCAATGGCCGCTGCGGCCGGCGCACCACGCTGATCCGATGGCAGGAGCCAGGTACTTATCCTGGTCTCCCATGGGGTGCAGGGCCCAAGCACCTGGGCCATCCTCCACTGCACTCCCTGGCCACAGCAGAGAGCTGGCCTGGAAGAGGGGCAACCGGGACAGAATCTGGCGCCCTGACAGGGACTAGAACCCTGTGTGCCGGCGCCGCAAGGCGGAGGATTAGCCACGGCGCCGGCCGCGAGTATAGTTTTAAAAATTAAATCTCTCCTTTTTTAATGATTCCTTAGTATTTATTTATTTATTTATTATGTGTCAGGCATTAAGCTGAGCACTGGAGATAAAGTTGTAAATAAAACAGCCCTAATGCCTGACCTTAGGCAGCATGGAGTCTGATCCTGGAGACAGTGCTGAATGCAGAGTGCTACACGTTAACAGATGCTCAGGAGGGGCACCTGGATCGGGGGTCCTAACCGGATGACTATGGAGTGCTGTATGAACATCGGGGTTCCTAACCCAATGACTGAGGTTCTCTTAGAAAGTAACTTTAAGACGTGAATCTTGACAGCTGAGTTTCTGCAGGTTGCTCAGGCAAGAAGTACAGAGCAGAAGGAAAATGCTGGGGCAAGGAGCACTGGCTGAATGGAAGGAGGCCAATGTCCTGGAGGCTGGTAGAGCCAGGGTGTCCTGAACAAATGTCGGCAAGTAGAGAGCAGCTAAGGATGGAGCGGCAGCTGTGGGCTGGGCCCAGGTAGGACAGGGCAGCTTTGAAATCCTGGCTACTGGCTAAAAGCCACGGCAGAGAGTATTTTAGTAGACAAGGGGTGGTACGTGCTGGGAAGGATGCCTTGGTTTCACGTAGCCAGAGGCTGTGTGACTTTAAAGCAAGCTTCAGCTCTGTGAGAATAGAGAGGTTCAGTGATAGAGGCTGAGAAGTCCTCTAGAAGAATGACATCAGGACCTGCTCCCCACTTGCAGCCGCAGAACACTGCCCACACTTCGGCAGCAGTGACGGACGATATGGAGTAGATTTTGCCTCTGTTCTCTGATCCGGGTCTGAGTCTGGTCTTGGTCCAGGCTGGGTTTCAGGTGTTTTAATCCGTACACGCCTCAGATCCATGCCTGCCTAAACACTTGAATCACTATGCTTCTGAGTTGTATTCCCTTTCCTCTCCCTCTCCTCGGTAAAGCGGCAAATGATGGAGTGTGGCACCTTGACACTGTTTGGATCTACAGTCAGGAGATAGAGGCCAACTGGAGATGCATCAGTTGTATCTTATTTTCTGTTTAGTTGCAAATTCATTAGCTGCTTATGCTTTTTTACTTATATTCTCAAGTTGGTCATTTATTTAGTTGTTCTTTTAGATTGCCAACAGTGTTTCCAGTTTTTGTAAGCCATCACCTAACCAGAGTGATCAAAGAATAGAAATGAACACTATGAGAAACGGTGACTTGATCAGCCCTCACCCTGATTGTTGATGAGCAGCTTAATATGTTATCCCTCTTAGTATCTTTTTTGTTTGTTCTACTTAATACTTTTGGTTGAATACTGTAATCAATACACAATTCTTCTTAAGTGCTGAAACTTAACTGAAAATGATCGCTGTTAAATATAAGAGTGGGAATAAGAGAGGGAAGAGATGTGCAATTCGGGACATGCTCAAGCTGACTTACCTCAAATGGTAGAGTTAGAAACATACCAGGGGATTCCAATTCAATCCCATCGAGGTGGCATGTACCAATGCCATCTCACTAGTCCACACGATCAATTTCTGTTCACAATTGATCATAATGATAGGACTAAGAACCAAAGGGATCACATAAACAAGAATAGTGTCTGCAAATACTAGCTGATAGAATCAAAAAGGGAGAGAATGATCCAACATGGGAAGTGAGATACACAGCAGACCCATAGAATGGCAAATGTCCTAACAGCACTCTGGCCTCATAATCAGCCCTTAAGGCATGCGGATCCGGCTGAAATGCCCATGAGAGTATTTCAGGCATGGAAAGCCAAGACACTCTGGGGGGGAAAAAAACCTAAATGAAAGATCTCCGCGAGTGAGATCCCAGTGGAAAGAATGGGTCATCAAAGAAGGAGGTACCTTTCTCTGAAGGGAGGAGAGAACTTCCACTTTGACCATGGCCTTGTCTAAAAATGATCAGAGTCAGTGAACTCAGGGGGCTTCCATAGCCTTGGCAGCTCATGACAAGAGCCTAGGGTGATTACTGATGCCATAAACAAGAGTGTCAATTTGTTAAGTCAACAACAGGAGTCACTGTGCACTTATTCCTCATGTAGGATCTTTGTCCTTAGTGTGCTGTACATTGAGATTTAATGCTATAACTAGTACTCAAACAGTATTTTTCACTTTAGTTTGTGTGTGGGAGCAAACTGTTGAAATCTTTACTTAATGTATGCTAAACTGATCTTCTGTATATAAAGAGAATCGAAAATGAATCTTGATGTGAATGGAAGGGGAGAGGGAGTGGATAAAGGGAGGGTTGTGGGTTGGAGGGACGTTATGGGGGGGGGGAAGCCATTGTAATCCATATTCTGTACTTTGGAAATTTATATTCATTAAATAAAAGTTAAAAAAAAATACTAAAAAAAAAAAAGAATAGGCTCAGAAATACTGTCACTTTACCAGCAGTTTTGTTTATTTGTTTGTTTTGAGAAACAGAGTATGTTCCCACACACACTGGTTCACTCCTTAAAAGCCCATGCCAGGCAGGAATCAAGAACTCAGCACTGGTCTCTCACTTGGGTGGCAGGGACCTAAGTATTTGAACCATCACCATCTGCGTCCCAGGATCTGTATCAGGAGGGAGCTGGAGTTGGGAGCTGGAGCCAGGTGCCGCAGCCAGGTACTCTGATATGGGATGCAGAGGTCTTAACCAGCATCTTAACAGCAGCCACTGGAGACATGAAGTTCAAAACTACAGGTGTCACAGCTGACATTATGGTACAGCAGGGTAAGCCACCACCTGCAATGCCAGTCTCCCATATCAGAGCACTAAATTGAGTCCCAGCTATTCCACTTCCAACCCAGCTCCCTACTAAAGCACCTGGGAAAGCAGCAGCAGATGGCCCAAGTGCTTGGGCCCCTGCCACTGACATGGGAGACCCAGGTGGAGTTCCAGGCTCCTAGCTTCTGCCTGGCCCAGCCCCAAACATTGCAGCCATTTGAGGAGTGAACCAGTAGATGAAAGATCTCTGTCTCCTTCTCTCTTTATCATTGTGCCTTTCAGATCAGTAAAATAGATGTTTTAAAAAGAAAAGAATAAGCCGACACCATGGCTCACTAGGCTAATCTTCCACCTGCGGCATTGGCACCCCGGATTCTAGTCCTGGTTGGGGCGCCGGATTCTGTCCCGGTTGCTCCTCTTCCAGGCCAGTTCTCTGCTGTGGCCCGGGAGTGCAGTGGAGGAAGGCCCAAGTCCTTGGGCCCTGCACCCACATGGGAGACAAGGAGGAGGCACCTGGCTTCTGGCTTCAGATCAGCACAGTGCTGGCCGTAGTGGCCATTTGGGGGGTAAACCAATGGAAGGAAGACCTTTCTCTCTGTCTCTGTCTCTCTCCCACTGTCTAACTCTGCCTGTCAAAAAAAAAAAAAATAAAAAAAGGAATAAGATTCCAACACATGAGTACAATACTAATTTGCTGAGCCATAACTGATTAATGAACAACAATGGGTGACTATTAGCTGAAACAGATACCAAAACCAGTTTTCAACTAATATTTCTCTTGAAAACTGCAGCTTGGCTTACATTGACTCTGGAGTTGATCTATTTTGTGTGTTCAGCCTCTTAGCAATAGAGGAAAAGTTATGGTTTTATTTACATTTTTCCCTGAGCAGATTTACTTTTCTCTCTCTCTCTCTCTCTCTCTCTCTCTCTCTCTCTCTCACACACACACACACACACACACACACACACACACGATGTATTACCTAAAGGATCCTTACTTTGTGTAGCAGCTTTGGTAATTGATCTTGATTGTTGAGTTTAGAAGGCTGAGTGTATGGTAATTCTAGCCCCAGTACTCTGCTCAAAAACGTGCACTACTCAAGACAGCACTCTTTATAGCACATTAATTCATTTTAAGAAATGTTAAAAGTTTGCGGGATCTCATTGTTCTTTTACTCTTCTGTGTGTGTGTGTGTGTGTGTGTGTGATTTATTTCCTAGGAATGTAAGTCAAAACACATTCTTGGAACTTTCAAGATGTCTTGAAGGTATTTCTGTGTGTGTGTGCTTATCCTGAAAGTATAGAATACCTTGTATACCAGAGCTAATGACACCAGATCTTTTAGGGTTTCTGTGTTGTAACAATTGCCACTGGGCAGACAGCTGCCAAACATCTTGCAGTTAATCTCCTACACGTTGGCTTTCCCATTTTCGTCTTTCAGAACAAACGCCCTGAGGCGGAGGAGTTGGTCTTCAGCCATTTCGTGATCTGTAACGACACACAGGAGACACTGCGCTTCGGCCAGGTGGACACCGATGAAAACATCGTGCTGCCGAGCCTCCGCAGCCACCAGTACAGTTGGCGCGCCCACAAGTCCCCACAGGTATTTCAGCTGCAGCCTCCTCGTAGACGCACATTTGTTGAGGTTCCGGTTCTTTGATTCTGCATTTATGCCCCTGTATCCAGGTCTCCCAAGGAACCACGCCACCTAGAGGGTGGAGAGCTGGGAGGCCAGCATGCCCCTGCTCCAGCGCGGCCTGAGTGTGTGTTGGGGGGCGGGGGGGGGTTGGCAGCAGGCTCTGGTGCTTCTGTGATTCGGCTCAAAAGCGGAAGTACGCAGGCTTGGCTCCTGACTTGGTGTAACCTTGCCTTAACTTCCTGTGCTGCAGTTTTCTCCAATGTAAAGTGGAGATGAAAACAGTACTATTCCATAGGCTTGCCGGACTCAAGTAGAAGGCGCCAGGCTCGTGCATGGCATCCTGGAGACATTCCGTGTTGGGTGTTACCATATGTGCTCCCTTGAGCAGACTGCTCTCGGGAACACTCTGTGTGCCAGGCACTCGCCGGGCACTGAGGATGGGAAGTCAGGTAGGTCACAGCCCTTGCCCCCAAGGACAGCTCACGACCTGTGAAGCTGTGAGCAGGATGACAAACCATGCCCCAGGGGGCACTGAGGAAAGACGTAGCGAAGGATGCCTGTTTTCCAAGCAGTGTAATTCCATTTTCCTGTCACTTTAGATGGTAATAATTAGAGGCATGTGCCCTGCAGGGATAATACGGGCATGGATTAAATACAAAGATGTGGTCTGAAATGAGTAAAAGAAATCCTAGGAAGTACTCTCCAGAATAATGTGTCTCTCCACTCCGGGTAATAAGGACACTACTGTCTGCTTGTGATTAAAAGAAAGTCATTAGATTAGAGAACAAGTTTCCCCATCTGGCCTGGAGAGCAGCTCCACAGTACGGGCAGCCTCAGGCCCCATTTGCTGCTGCTGCTGCTGCTGCTGCTGCTGCTGCTGCTGCTGCTGCTGCTGCTTTTTTTTCCCCAGTAGCTAAATTCTGCCTTCTGACTTGTTTTTTTATCCGACTGCCACACTATTGATTTAAAATTTACAAAAGTAGATATGCCTTATTATCTATTTAAATATATTCAAATAAATCTGGCAGGACTACATAACTCTTTAAAATAAAAGTTCTTTTTAAAACAAAATTTTCTCACATGATACATTGTACTCGTATTTTTAGGGTGAATCACATGCCCTTCTTTTCTGATTCTGCACTTAAGAAATTTCCGTATTAGAGAGCTTTTAAGTTGTTCGCCCTTTTAACATAGTTAGAGGACATTTTGTTTGTTTCAAAAGTAAGTTTCTTTTGGTGGTTTTTTTGGTACTGGTTGCAAAAGTGCAAGCATGCAGATATGTAAACAGAAACAACTGCACACCTAATCTGAGCCACGCGGAGTGACGTGTGTTCACGCGGGGACATGTGTTCACGCAGACTGGGATGGCCTTTTAGGTCTTCTGAAGGCATCGTGGTGATTGCACTCCCAGCAGGGAACTCTCAGTGCAGGAAGGAAGCCACTGAGAAGCTGCAGTACCGTGTGGTTGCCAGGTACCTGAAGTCCCTCCCCTCAGATACACATGCAAGCCCTAGCCTCAGAAGCTTAGCTCTCCTCACAGTCCCCGGGAGATACAAGGCCAGCCTGGGCCTCTGTGACCCTCAGGATTCCCTAGGCACTGGAGCCAGGCTGGGAAGGGTGATCACTAGAACAAGTGGCTCAGGGGCTGGCCTTTCCCTGGCAGTTAAGATGCTGGTGAAGACACCATGTCCATCGTGGGGCAGGGAACTAAGGCTAAGGCACAGCAGGTTAGGCAATTGCTTGAAATACCTGCATCCCTTATCAGAGTGCTAGTTTGAGGACTCTCAAATGCTCCGCTTCTGATCCAGCTCCTGATAATGCATCCTAGAAGGCACTAGAAGGTGGGTCAAGTGCACAGCCCCTGCCAACCCATGTGCGAGATTCAGATGGCTCCTAGCTCCTGGCTTCAGCCTGGCCCAGCCCTGGCTGTTCATAGCTGGCATTTGGGGAGTGAACCAGCAAATAGAAAATTCATCGATCTATCTTTCTCTCTCCCCCCTCCCTCTCTCCCTCACCCCCTTCTCTCTCTCCCTCACTAATCCTCTCTCTCTCCCTCCCTCTCTCTTTCTCCCCCTCTCCCTCCCTCTCTCACTTTCTCTCTTTCTCCCCCTCTCCCTCTCTTTCTCCCGCTCTCCCTCTCTCCCTCTTTCTCCCCCCTCCCTCTCTCTCTCTCTTTCCCCCCTCTCTCTTTCTCCCTCCCTCCTTCTCTCCTCCCCCTCTTCCTCTCCCCCTCTCTCCCTCTTTCCCTCTCTCCTGCTCTCCCTTTCTTCCAATTGCATGAAAATAAGTAAATCAAGATTTTTTTTTAAAGGAAACATTAAAACAAACTAAAGATGGACACACACCCCAGATTGGTGTGCCTGAGTTCAGTACCCAGCTCTGGTTCCTAATGCAGGATTCCTGCTAGCACAGAACCCCGGGAGGCAGTGGTGATAGCTAGAGTGATTAGGTCCCTGCCACCCAAGTGAAACACCTGGGTTGTGTGCCCAGCCCACTGCTTCAGGCCCTCAGCCACTATGGTGAATGAACCAGCAAATGTCAGGGATGCCTGTGCCCATCTGTCCCTCTCAGTGTCCCCCTGCCTCTCAAATAAAATGTTAAAGTATTAAAAAAAAAAAGCCAGCAGATGGCTAGGAGTCTTGGTGCTGTGGACATCCTGTTTCTGGGTGGGGAAGAAGGAACGGATGGCGCCTTTCCTCGTTATGCTCTTGCATTTTTCAAATCCTTTTTGAATCTATTAATATTTGTTTTGACAGTGTACCTATGCGATATGTATTCTTGTATGTATATTTTTATAGATAAGAAGACAAATACAAGTGTTAGGTAGTGGTAGAATTGGGGCTGAACCCCTTATCTTTTTATTTTCAATATAGTGTTATTTCCACAGCATTGTCTCATTCCCCTAAATTTTGGCAGCATGATTTGTCGGTTACACTAGCCAACCTGTGAGGTGTTAAGAAAAGAGCTGAGAAATCACTGGTCTAACAAACCCCTCAGAGTTAAGCCTGACTACTGTGGGATCCTTAGTCCAAATATGAACCTTTGCAAAGTCTTAATTCTGTTATCCAAAACTATAGGAACCTTTTAATGACAAACAGAAAACACAAGATAGGTGTCTGTTAACACACTCTCTCTCCCTTTCTCTCTCTCTCTTTCTCTTTCTCAAATGTGTAACTGTAACCCCTGGAGGCAAATGTTAAGATGAGCTGTAAACATGTTTCATCTTTTTAGGCTAAAACTTAGATCACGTTTGTGGAAACCAGTGTCTCTTACATAATGAATGCATAATGAAGTAAGTGTGTTTTAGGACTCTCTGAAGCCAGAGGCCTTAATGGGCCCAGAGGGTCTTCATGGAATTCCTTACATCCTTAATTGCAAATTCTGCTGTGTTCTAATGAGAGGTTACATCTGAGGATCAGGAAAACTAGCCACTTAGCTTCAAACTGCACCTGGAGCTAGTCGTAGACACACAAGTGAGCAAAATGTTCCCTTCTCCAGACTCCAAGTCATATCCTGCACTGCCCAGCAAGCTCGGTTTTAGGAACATTTGTGTCTGCGTGTTTATGCTACCTTGGGTGTTAGTCAATTCATAGTCTCAGGGAGAATTTCTAAAGTTCACAGAACTTAACTCCACTAAACAATGTGGCTTATATTGCAGAGATCAAGAGAGTGGCAATGACACCTGGAAAGGTTTCAAAGAGGTCAGGATATCTTAGAACCACACAGGAGGTTGCTAACAACAGTAAGTCCCAGTAGGATGGGAAGAAACATGGACACAACCAATTCCAGAAATCCAAAGCTGAGAAACCTTTTAGAATTGAAAAGTCATAAACCCTCCTTATAGTTTCTAACACATGCTCTGAGGCAGAGTCACTTAAAATTCTGGATATCTCACAACAATTTCTTGCCTAAACAAACAAAGGAAGAACAAAACCATTTCCTAGGGAATAAATGAACACATTCAGCTGCACAGTGATAAATGCCACCACAGAGAGCCCAGGGCAGTGCATTTCAGGTTGGAGAACACTAACCAGCGAGAGATAGTCTTGAAAGAAGTGTTTCACAGCATGCAGAATTCAGTCTAGGGACTGGGGTGAGGGGATATGGGATCCTTCCCCAGAACGTGGGTGATAACTACTGTTAGAGTCGAGGAAAGCTTTTTTAAATTTAGCCAAGCCTGATACAGTGACACTTCCACCACCTAGCAGGATTTGAATGTAGTCTGTTCAAGTTAGCTACATTTTCTGGTTAACAGAGAACACTGTTGATTAAGTAAATATCTGGAAATAGGAATGCCTCCACTTTATCAGTAAGGATTTTTCACTTGCTTTTTATTATCAAACATGCATAATTTATAAATTATGTGTATTTTTTCAGAAGTTTAGAATTCCAATTACCAATGACTTAATTTTAGTAATCAAAATATCAGGCAGAATGGAAATGGATTCTCAACAGAGATTATGGAAAATAATAAAATATTTATCCAAAATGAATATAAAAGAAATTTTATAAGCTCATAAAAAATGACAAAGTACAAAATGTAAAAAGACAAAAAACAATTTTGATGAGCAGCACAGCATCTTGGAAATACTCATTAACGAGACTTACTGTCAAAAAATAAATCCTATCACTCCTTGGCCTTTAAGATTAAGTGTAAAAAAATAAATCCTACATTACTTTAAGGCAGAAGTAGGCAAAGATTTTCTGTAAAGGGTAAATACTTTAAGATTTCATGATCTGATAGTCTCTTTCATAGCTATTCAACTCTGCAAAAGTCATTTTTATGTAACAGCTATATAAACGAATGACTATGATTACATTCCAATAAAACTTTATACATGGATGGTAAAATTTGAATTTCATATCATTTTCCCATATCATGAAATATTATTATTTTAATTTTTTTGCAATCATGTCAAAATATAACATTATTATATTATAGGTTATCCAGAAAATGGACAATG